AAAAAGAGCCAGGACTCCTGAAGACATAGATGTAGGCAAAGACTTCATGAACAAAACCCTGACTGCATGGGAAATACTATAAAGAAACAACAATTGGGATCACGTCTTATTAAGAAGCTTTTGCATAACAAAAAAATCAGAGTAAAAAAAAAAACAACCAACAAAGTGGGAAAATTTTTAGCCAGTTGTTTCTCAAAAGACTAATACCTAGAACATAAAAAAAGTAAAAAAATCAGATCCCCCCAAAATTTAAAGAACCAATGCAAAAACGGGCATCTGAGATGATTTCAATAAAAATGTCATTTATATATCTCGCATAACTAGATACACACTTATCATATGAGAAAGTAGAAACAGCAAATAAATACATAAAAAAATGTTCAACATTATTGGTCATTTGAGAGATGCAAATTAAAACAATGCTGATATTCTATCTCACTAAGAAAGAATGGCTATTTTCAAGAAATCAACCAATAACAAATGTACACAGGGATAAAGGAGCCCTTCTCCACTGTTGTAGAGTTGTGGTTGTTGTAGATTGTGCAGCTACTATGGAAATCCATGTGGCAATCCCTCAAAAAAGTGGGATTGGAAGTCCCATTTGACCTAGCTCTTCCTCTTCTTGGTATTTTCCCAAAGAAATAAAAGTATCATATCATAGCAATATATGTGCACCCATGTGTATAATAGCATAGTTGGTATAGCTAAGTCTTGGAAACAATTCAAAAACCCATCAATTGATAGATGGATAAAAAAGATGTGGGGTTTTTGTATACAACGGAGTACTACTCAGCTGTAAAGAAGGACAGACTTGAGATATTTATAGATAAAAGGATGGACCTTGAGACTATTCTCTTAAGGTAAATGGATGCACCTTGAGATCATACGCTTAACTGAAAAAAATCAAAGATGTATATTTACATATTGGATTGTTTCTTTGGCGAGAGAAACTAAAAGGATAAATAAAGACTGAAATACATAACAGATATTGGAAAATGGGAAGAAATTTTTCATATGGGAGGTAGAACACAGAGGAGGAGGAGGAGGAGGAGGTAGAGGAGAAAGAAGGAAAAATGGAAATAAAGCTTTTGTAAATAAGGAAGAAAAAGGGGGTTGAAAGGAGGGAAAGGGAAAAAGATTAATATAGAAAGATGCACATATTAACTGGCTTGATATAATCATTCTACAAGGTGTGCATCTGTGTGAGGAAGTCATTGCTTTGTACTTAGCACAGTTTGCATGTGGTTTTTCCCACAAGCATTCATGTATTGGAAGTTTGTTTCCCAGGGTGGCAGTGCTGAGAGGCAGAAGAACCTTCAAGAGGCAGGACAGGTTCCCAGAGGTGGCAGGTCATTTAGTTACAAGGAGGCACCCTTGGAAGGGATTAAGTATTCCTGAGGGGCCCCTGTGAATTCTGGAGGTATTGTTTATGAAAGAGTCAGCTTCTCGCTGAGTTGCTGTCTGGTTTTGTGTACTGTGCTCTGACTGTGATGCCAGTCACCTGGGGGCCTTCACCAGAGCCAGCACAATGCTGTTCGGACTTTCAGCTTCCTGAACTAAATAAACCTTTTCCATAGTTAACCCCCGCAAAAAAAGTTACCCAATTCCAGATATTTCATTATAACAATGAAAACTAACATACCGCTCCCATAAATATGCACATATATAATTATATTTAACATAAAAAAGCATAATAGCTCTGTATTGATTTGAGGTCACTGAGAACTCCTGACACACAAACTTTATGGCCCAAGGTTATGGTTCAAACAATATCAACAGAGGACTGGCCTAAGGAGGTAAATATTAGTAATGTAGCATTATCTAAGACCAAGTCCCCCAAAGTAACATAAACCCTATGGCTCATTAAGTAATACATATTTATTTTTCTCTTATATTGTAAAGTGGTTTCCAATACAGAGGCATCATTGTACCCTAGAACTCCTAAGCATGACAGCAGTACGATTTCATTGTGTTTATAAGTTCTGTAATTAATAGTCTACTACAAACAATCCTGGCTTACTCATTCTTTAAAATTTCAGAGGCTCTCATTGCCGGACACATGGGAGCTCAGTTAGTCATCATGTTCAAATGTCCACAAGTTGACTGGCACTTTTCCCAAGGATGGTGCTAAAGTTCCCTACCCTGCAAGTGTGGGCTGGGCTCACTGGCTCACTTCTAATGAGCGGAATATAGTGGAAGTGATCATGCATGACTTTTAAGACGAGGTCATAATAGGCACTGCAGTTTCCTCCTTGCTTTGTTCTCCTTGATTGTTCATTCTTAGGGAAGCTGGGTGGCACATTATGATGACACGGTGAAGCTCTCCTCTCAGCATGAAACTGAGGTCTCTCATTGAGAATCATGCAAACCATCAGGGAAAGAAAGTGGCCCAAGTCTCTTTGCCGTCCAGTGACTACAGTCCCATCTGACATCATGCCCGAACTACCCAACTAGGGCAGTCCCAGAAAGTATGAGCTAGCACATTTATTTTAAGACAGTAAGTGTTGTGGTAACTTACCTATAGTTTACTGCTTGAAGTGCTCCACATACACTTTGTTTACTCTTAAATCAAAACTTTTCCAGGACACTGTAAAATAGATTTATGACTGGGTGATACATCTACTGTGCAGATGGATAAGTAGGCCCTAGTGTCAACTCGTGAACAGAAATAAAACAAGCAATTGAAAAGATTTTTTTAAAAAAACCATGCAACTAAAACCGTTTGATGTCACATTTTAAAAGCCAAAGTATTATACGTTCAAAAAGTGTATTTTGTCCAAAAGAATTCATCACTATCTAGGCGTTGTGACAAGTTCCTTTCCAATAATATTGTACTGTTGGGACCTAGCCACAGAGTTCTGGAAAAAGAATTACACAGTACCATCAGCACAGGCTTCTGTCTCTCCTGGGAAGCAGTTAGGACACTTTGTAACACTTACATTCAACTGGTTTCCCCTGGAGTGCAGAAAAAAGAAAGTGGGGGAGGAGGATCACAGAGATAGTGTTCCTGAACTTTGTTTGAAATGTTTGGTTGGGTGTCTGGTAGCTAGAGGGCTTGCAAATGGTGGCTCTGGAACATTACTCAGGGTTTTGAATAAGAGCAAACTGCTACTCCAAGAATCAGATGCATTAGGACACTATCATCTCAGCATGCTATGGTTCAAAGCTCTTAGACATGGCAGACGGATATTATAGATTTTAGAAGTTGAAGCCCAAACTGGAAAGGGACTTGTGTCCCTTTCCAACCCCACTGCCAGCAAGTGACTAAGTCACAAGCCTGCCACAGCCTCTTGGAGCTTTCTTCCACTAATAGCCACCCCAGGTTGGCTGGCACCCCTTCCTACGTCAGCTGGCTAAATGGTATCTGTAAACATGAACACTAATATCAGGCTCGGCCAGCCTTCCCAGCATCTGTTTCATCCTGATTTCTCTGGGTACACATCGGATTGATGTAGTTATTAAAGGTCAACTCTACCTCCCCAGACAGAAAAGCTATAATTACTCCCAGTTTTTCTGCGGGACCTTTCAAAGAACATCATTAATTCTGAATAAAGCTCTCTCAACACTTTCCAAGTATAGTTTTGCCATTTCTGCTTTATATTACAAAATTCCTCTGCCTAAATGACAAAGTGCCTGTTCTTTAAAGCACATGTTGTAATCCCAGCACTTGGGAGGCTGAGGCAGGAGAATCCTTTTCAAGTTTGAGACCAGCTTTGACTACAAAGTGAGCCCAAGGCCAGTCTGAACTGCATAGCGAGACTCTGTCTCAAAAGAACAAAATAAATAAATAAAGCACATGTACTTGGAAACTTAAGAATCTAGGTTAATTTTCTAAAATTAAAATGACAAGAAAAACTTGTCCTGCTCCAATCCCTTCTGCACACATTCTCTCATCTATATATTGTATTTGGAAAGGGCCAGTAAATATACTGAATTATTGTCTAGGTCTAGGAACTTGTTACTTGAAATACCCGGGATTCCCAGGGCGATGAGAGAGTCCAGTCAAAAGAAATCTCCAGGCTGAGAAGTGAATACAGTGAGAGAGGATCTGCAGTGCAGTTCCCCTCTTCTCATCACACCTCCAGGACGACTTCCCTCCCCTTACAGAGCGCCAAGCAGCAAACACTCAGCTCGGCCACCCACTGTGTGCCAGACCCTGCACTAAGCACTGTACACTCTTCATTTCAGAGAATTCTCACCAAGAACCATAGCAAGTACTAACTGACTTGCTTAAAGATGAGGAGAAGCAGCATACAGAAACCAAGCAACTGTTTTATAAAAGGATCGGAAGGCGTCCTCCAAAATCGCTGGAGGATAGCGCTGGGGTTGGGATAACCAAAGGAAAGCGACTCTCGGATCATTTTGTGTTACCCTTACTTCTCTCCTCAGCACGGAGCTGGCTAGTACAGTTGGATAATATGGTCTTTGGACTACAGCATGGTCTAGAGTCCAGCGGAGGCAATAAAATAAAGGGTGAATGGCCATGGGAATCTCTTCATCTGCAGCAGGGCAAATTCCAGCCTTCACCGTCCTGCACATTCCTGTTGAGACCAAAAACTTTAAGGCTTCAAAATGGACATGTACACAACCACTCAGAGGAAAGAGAACGAAGGGCGCATCTATGTAGATGTGACCTCATTACTATGGAGAAAAGCTGCATCTGCAAGCGCCCTGCACCTGCTGAAGGACAGAGGCCTGGGGCTGCAGTGTCAGCCTGGACTTCAGCTCTGGTATGCAAGTAGTTAAAGCTTTCCCGCTTCTGCTGTGTGCACCAAGCAGGGGCACCTGCAGGCACTTCAGGAATGCACCAGGAGCACAGGTGATAAGCCTATCCTTTGCTCTTCCAAATAGCTAATGACAAACTCCTCTCGTGCTCCAGATGCACTGGCTGCTAATATTTGCAAGCATGCCTCAAATGTGCAAGCCTCTAACCACTCTCCGCCAAATGACCTCTTCCCCCGCACCCCCCTAACCCCCTAAGGCCACAGGTCTTTCCTTACCTCCGCGGTGGCAGGTAATGGCAGTACAGCCCGTCTCCGACGGCCAAAACGAACCTTGGCTGCTTTGTAGATCTTCCAGTACACAAACAGCACCACGCCAAGGGGCAAGTAAAAGGCGCCACAGGTGGAGAAGATCGCGTAGGAAGGTTCCTGGCTCACTTGGCAGCGCTGGAGCCTGGCGTCGTACACCTCGCCCCAGCCGAAGAGCAACGGAGCGAGGGCGATGAGCGCGGACAGCGCCCAGGTAAGCGCGATCATGAGCGCTGAGGCGCGGCGCCGGGTGCGCAGCGTGTAGTGCAGGTGGCGCGTAATGGTCCAGTAGCGGTCCAGGGCGATGGCCGCCACGTTCCAGATGCTGGCGGTGCAACACAGCACGTCGAAGCAGATCCACACGTGGCACAGGCTCCGTCCAAGCTGCCATCGTCGTCCGGCCGACAGTTCCCTCGTTAGGCTCAGTGGCATCACCACTGCTGCCACGAGGACGTCTGAAACGGCCGTCGAGGCCACCAAGTTATGCGGTACGCGATGGAAGGCAGGGACGCGCAGGATGGTGACCAGAACCAGCAGATTCCACAGGAAAGTGGCCATGATCAGCAGCACCAGCAGAGTCACCACCAGTACTGTGAAGACAGAATAGGGCGGCTCCCGACCAGGCAGGACCGAGGCTGGGCTACCGCTGCAGGTCTCCCGGGCCCAGAGAAGGGCGGTGCCCGGAGTGGTCGGCGAGAGGCTGGCGGCTTCCATGGAGCCTTGACTCAGGGCTGCGGAGCAGGGGCTGAAGTGTGGTCCGCGACCTCGGCGTGGACGGGGCGGCTGGGGTCACAGAAGGAACCCTGAATCCCAGGAAAGGACAGAGGAACGTCTAGGTCGCTCTATCCTGCTCCCTCTTTGGGCTGCAGCCTCCCTTTGGCGTTTCTACCTGGGGTCCTCATGGACCCTCTTTTCCAATGGAGGAAGAAAAGAAGGGGACCCTTCTGTCCATCTCCGCTTGGCGCGACTCCCTACCGCCCCACCAACCCCGGGCCACCCGCTGGCCAAGGCTGGGAACCCCGGAGCGCAGCGCGGAATCAGCGCGGGAGACGGCGGCGGCAATCTGGCACTGAACCGCTCCGGATGGGCTGGAGAGGGCGGGGCAGTTTGCAGAATCCATCAATAGGAGCCGGGCCAGCAACTCCGTCGGCTCAGGTTCCCACGCCCCGGCTGGGCGGAGAAAATCCTGAGCGCTGGGTCTCTGGGAAAGGTGGGTGGGAGTCGCCTGGGGGCCAGCTCCGCGCCTAGTGGCTCCGATAGAGACTGAGAGTACAAGGTCCCGACCGAAGGGGTTCTGGTTTTCTGAATCCCGACCCAAGCTAAAACCAAGAAAGTCGGGTACGGGGATATATGGAGAGCTCCCTAACCCAGCTCCAGCCTTCGGGTTCCTCAGCAGCCAGTGCGCCCAGCGGGGCCTCAGGTTTCCTCCCTGGCTCAACGTAAAAAGCGCATCTTCGGAGCAGCGCGGCGGGTTCACGGAAGAGCGACGCTTTCCATCTTTGCCAGTTTAAACTCCCACCCTCCATGTACCCCTAATTCTCACTCCTTTTGAGTTTCTAAAACTCACAATGCCTTTCAAGCTAAAGTTGGGAGATTTTTGTTTTCATTTTGAGGTGCTACGGGTGAAACCCAGGGTTTTGCACATGATGGGCAAGTACTCCGATGCTGGCCCTAGGAGTTATTTTTAGTCCCTCGTGGACAAAAGATGAAAACATGAAATTCCCACGACCCTCTGCACCTCCCCCTCCCCGTTTTCAGAATCGTAGGGTTAGAACAGTGGTTCATAACGTAATCAGTGCAAAGATGCGTTACTTCTGTTTGTGGGAGTGAGGTAGAACGACCCCCCCCACTACCCCTCCCCGGCGTGCCGCGTAGGTGACTTCTTGTCACCTCTAGGAACTGTGCAGGCAGCTGCTAAGCATGCGGGTTGCACCTCGAAAGTGAGTGACCTGGATGATCCGCTCTGGAGAGCCACGTAGGCTAACGCAGATGAGGGGACCTCTTCCTGCGTTCTCCCAGGTCCCCTATGGCACCGGGGGCAGTCTTGTCATGCAGCGAGGACAAACTCCAAGGGCTTCTCTTTCTTCTCCGTTCCCTCTTCTCTCTCAAGAAGGCACTCTCTGCTTGGTACTCTATGTGACAGTTCTGGCTTACACAGGCGCAGGCAGCACACTCACAGGACCTAGAAAGCAACGTGCAAAGGAGTGGAAGTGAAGGTGCTTGGACTTACAGCAGGCTTCCACTTCAAGCGACTGATACAGTGTTAGAAGTGGGGGACTGTCTGGGGACAGAAATGGGAATGCATTGGTCAAGGAAGGCTTCTTGGAGAAGGCTGTTGAAATTTTACTGAAATGGAAGAAACGAACACATTTTACATTCATACTAACAGAACACCTCCTTTGACATACATACTGACAGAGCTTACTAGCAATCTTTTTAGGACACATCATACAGAGGGTTGGACCCCCAAGTCTGCCTGGGGTGTGAATGGCTGGCATTTGAGGGTAGCGGATGAACATGCAGGGTATCAGTGCCAGAGGAGCAGGGTTACCAAGTGTTCAGCAAAAAGCTGTATTTGGGAAGATTTTGAGAAAACTAACCTTACAAAGAGAATCCTTTAAAAGAAAATAGAGATGCCTTGAAATACTTTTCACACCTTTGAAATATTCTATTTACTGAACAAATATGGTAACAAGAACAAAGATTAAAAGTGTGTACTCTTGCTGTGCCTGTCAGATACATGATGCACTTTCTCAGTCTGCTTCTCTTCAAGTACATTTTCATGCCCAAGATCCATTTTTAAGTTTCCAGTTTCTCTTATTTTTCATGCTCTCTTCACAGCTGTACTTTTTATATCACATCATTTATCACTGGGAGACATCGACCCACTTAGTCTTTTTGAGACAGTTTTTTCATCTTAAAAATGGGAGTAAGTGTACTTACCAAAGATTGCTATAAAACTAAAGTTAGACAAAGCCAGTAGCACAAAGTGTTCAATAAATGATGGTGATAACCATACCTGCTCTTTTTAACTCCCATACTAGATATGAGATGCAGTTCTCTTGTGATCAGTGATGTAGATTTTTAAAATAGTATTAATCTCTGACATATTTATAGTAACAAAACACTTTTAAAAACGTATTTAACCACCTTACTAGCAAACCTTTTTAGGCACCATTCCCAGTTGCAGATGAAAAACAGTGAGTCAGGTGTGGTGGCACATGCCTGTAATCCCAGCACTTAGGAAGATGAGGCAAGAGAATCTTGGGTTACAAATGGAGACACATTTGTCAACTTGCTCTATAGACTGAAAAGCATTGCTTCCTGCCAAGATTCATATTTTGAACCCCTAACTCCTGATGTGTCTGTTTTTAGGAGGATCTCTCAGAAGGTCAAATGAAGTCCTAAGAGTAGAACCTTGATCTGACTGGGATGGTGTCCTAATAAGGGATGATCAGAGAGGCCACTTTCTCCTACCCCACCATGTGAAGATGCAGCAGGAAGGCTTCTTCCCACTATCCAGGAAGGGGGTCCTCCCCAGGAGAAACCAAGCCAGCATCTTGACAGGGGATTTCCAGCCTGCAGAACTGCAAGAAATACACACCTAAAGTTCAAGCTTCTAATCTATGGCATTTGCTGCAGCAGCCCGAGCTGACCAATATACCTACCTTGAGATTACCTGTGAGGACTCTGCTCTCTGGCCCTCAACTCCCCATTTGTCCATAACACCAATCTGCCTTCCACATATTAGATGGGGGTTCAGGAAGATTGCCTTCATTTAATTATTTTATGTAAGTACTATAACAAAAAATCCTTTAGAAAACTCTGCTGTGTCTCAATTGCAAATCTCTGGCTCCTCTCTCTTCAACTCTTGGTCACTAACACCCCACTGACTGCAGTCAGCTATTCTGGTCTGTGGCCTTGCACATAACACATATGTCCCTCTATCAGGGCTCTCTTGTCATCCTTTCTGCCTGGATGTTTTTCTCTCAGGCAGGTGAGAGTCACTCTCTGAGTTCTTTGGGGTCTCTGCCCTGTGGTCACTATCTCACACAGGCAGTCCTCTCCTATTGACCGTATGACTACTTTCTCTTCACAGCATCTCACAGAACTAACATTGCATTCAGTTCATTTCCTTTCCTCTTAACATGTAAGTTCGTCCTGTACAGAGAACTTTTTCCCTGCAGTATCATTAGCATCTAGCCCTGAGCCGGGTGCATAATAGGAAGCTTAATAAATATGAGTGAATTTTTGAGTGAATGAAGGAGGGGTTGTCAGGAGAGGTGATCCGTGGGCCTGAGCGTCCCTGCACATGCTTGGTTGTGCCAAGAATGCCAGGCCCTGAATGTTCGTTGCCCTGATCATTACTCAGAGTTGTTTTTGCAGCAAGTATCCTTAAAGGAGGAGCCTGTTTCTCCTCCTGCATAAAAGGCAGGCTTATTTCCCCCTACTATTAAGGTGGTGGAGCCAAAGCTCTGTTCTTTCCTCTGACACAGGTGGCAGCCTGTCCAGGAGGCCAGCACAAGGCCTTTCTGTCACCCTCCCACTTCTTGGGAAACTGGGGGAACCAGAGAAAACAAGCATAAAGCTCTGGAAATAGCTTCACCTAGAGTAGTAAAGCCTTTTGTCTCTGACCCAGAAGTCTCCTGTCCTCTGCCAGAGACTATGAGACAGTAAAAGCACTTTAGCTTCAAATTAGGATAAAATCTCATAACTTGCATAATACTTAACAGGCATTTGATGCATTGAATTTTACAATTACAATTTAAAAAAGTTTTCCTTTCAAGCATTATTTCCTTGTTACATATTCTTCCACATTTAATAATGGAGTTAAAATGTAGGGGCAGTGTGATTATTTCACATATTTCCAAATTATACCTCTGAGAGATGTAATGGGTTCTCTGTTCTCTTTAGCTCTGGTTTTGAAGAAATGAGAGAGAGACTGACAGCCTGGTAAAGCAACATTTTAATCATTAAAAATGTTTAATTGATATATAGTGATATATTTTATATTGTTCTGGTTTATTTCTTTAATGACTAAAAGTGCTTCATTTTTCCCACATGGTGATTTTTATCTATGAATTCTTTTGTAGAAGTTTTTCATACACTTTTAAAAGACTAATTTGTGGTTTTATGGATATTTAGCAACATTAATGCATTTAGTGTAAACATCATATTGTCTTTCTGGTGTGAGAAACTGAAAGAGTAAATAAAGTTTAAAATGTACAGTAGATATTGTGAAATGGGAAGAAATTATTTAAAAGGAAAAAGGAACTAGGATGGGTGAAGGGGAGAGGACAATGAGGAAAAGGGAAAAACTGCATCAGCTATACTATTAGTGTGTCTTAGTTCATTAAAAAAGAAGGTTTAAACCGGGTGTGGTGGCCACTCCTGTAATCCCAGCACTTGGGAGGCTGAGGCAGGCAGATGGTTGCAAATTTGAGACCAGCCTGGGCTACAAATTGAGTCCAAGGCCACCCTGAACCACATAGTGAGACCCTCTCTCAGAAAGGCAATATGTAAATAAATAAAAGGAAGGTTTGTGCTAAGATCAATTGGAGAAAATTTTCTGCCCATGTCTTGCCCACTTTGAGCAACTATTTTAAAGATAACATATAATGTATTAACCATTGTTATCTCCTTTTACTTTGTCATGAAAATTTTTTACCTTTTTCCCACAAAATAAAAAAATCAATTTGATTCTTAAAAAGACAGAGTTAATTCACTATGACTTTGCCCATGTTGTTTGGAAGATAAATTTTTACTTACATCATATTTGAACCACAAATCTTTATAACCCTGCACACTTCTCAGTATAATCGTTTGACTGAATGTTTTCATTCCATCCCTGCTGGAAGCTTAGAAATAGGTTTTTTCTGGTATTCTTTGTAGTCAGTCTTCAATTCCAAACTGTATTAATATAAAGAATAGTGAATAAAAAAGGCTGATTGTTAAATAGAAAAAAATCAAAAAAATTAATGCACTTAAATAGTGTATTTGCCACAATATTTATACTTGTTATGACTTGTACCTAGTTGCTTC